TCGAGCTGCAATCACCTGTGTGCTGCATTGCTGTGTTAGCTAACATTAGCACTCTTTAGTTAGCTCGTAGCTTCACATTTCATGTAAACTGACACAGAATGAGCGTGATCTAAAAACTCTTACTAACATCCAAATAATCAGTGAGTATGTTCTTCTTCTTCTCTCTAGTTCTTGACTAAAACAGCTTTTATACACAAGGGGAGGAGCCGGCCGTCCCGTCCATGTAAACACGGCTCTGACAACAACACAGCCAGCGGGACTCGAGCTTCTCCCTCATGGTAGACAGTCAGGACTCAGAGACACATTTACACAGGACAGACTTCATGATTTATTGATGTGGAACATGTTGCACACTCTTACTTTAAGGAAACCTGGTGATCAACCTACAACATCTAATAAGATGAAACTTCTTCAAATGAAAAGCTAGTTCACAGTTGTTGTCTCACCTCCTCGTACGAAGCCGTTGGTTGCTATGGCAGAAGTAGACAGACCAGTGATGGTGGTGACCACCGTGGCCATCAGGATGATGGCGATGGTCAGTCCTATAATGTATCAAACAAAATATAAAGAATGAGAAAGAAAGAACGAGGGACTCAGTGCAACGAGTGGATTTGGTTTGTACCCACCGATTCCAGCTTGTCCGACAATCCAGGACATTCTGATGAAGAGCATTACACCCCAGATATTCAGCATGCAACGGATCTGCAACACGCAAACACACGCGGCGTGACCATCAAGTCCCACCATGTGATTAATTAAACTACAAACAGGATGTAACAGGAAGGACCCTTTAACTATGCAGACGCATAAAACTAACCAAGACTCCTTTGACCCAACCGAACTTCACCAGTCCTCCTTTCGCCTGCTTTGCAGCCAACGCCGCCGCCGCCTCCTCGGCTGCTGACGGCTCCTCTCCATTGGCCAGGCCATCCTCAAACGGCTCCTGGCAACCAATCACAGCACAGGGAATTGAATCACAGATTGAATTGAATACCCCGACTCCACTAGACAGATCCCTCCTGAACAGACTCTTCATCTAAATATGCAATATGGACAGCGTCTTTCACATGGGTTATTTTGGCTTCACTTTTGTACAATGTGAGGACATGTTGTCCATCTTTATATACAGTCAATGGTTTAACTAAATAACAGATTTACTTGATTTAATTGAACCTGTTAAACTTTGTCAAGTAGGTGTGGTGCCTAAACCGATCAGACGCCTTTGATCCAAAGTGACAAACATCAGAGAGTAAGAACAACACGAGCAAGAATCTAGAGAGGAGGAAACGTCGGCACAGGGTTTTTACAATATCGACGTCATCATAAACAATGACGGTAAGGTAAGAGGATGTGTTCCCTGCCTAGCTGTTCACACATGCACTCCTTAAAATTTCTAGAAAATTTCAGGAGACTGCCCCTGAAATCCTCCTGATCTGGTCGTCCACACATGATGCACCTCACAGCGCGAGACTATCCCTGTCAGACAGGAGGGGGGGGGCGGGGTCTCCTGAGGTAAGATGTGACGTAAAAGTAGTTGAAGAGAATCTCAAAGTGAACTAAAGAGTGGAGAAGAACATCCTGGAGAACAGGAAACGTGCAGCAGCAGGTTGATTAGAGCACGGAGATGGTAGAGGTGGGGTGCACTGGCTCCAGGTGAATTCTCCTGATTATATCCTTCTCACTGGAGGAGAAACTCGGCTGTTTGGTTTACACGTGTTGGTGTGACGGCCTTGTATGGGGGGTTAGGGTTGGGTGACAGTTTGACGGTTCTTTTTATTTTCTTATTTTCTATTTAAAAAGAGCTAAAACGTAACTTTCTGCAAGCTGAATCAGTGACTTCCTTTGAGTAGAAGTTGTGGCATGTGTGAAGGAGTACAGAAACTATTCCAGGAATGTTGTAAGAACACATCAGTGCTCATTATTCCGACCACACAGCGATGTTTAATTTATACTGCAGCAGTGGAGGTTGTGGCCTCAGTGGGTCGACTCGCTCTGTGACATGGAGCAGAGAGTCCGGTGGTGTTTATATGTTTCATTTGGAGCCAGGGGGAGAGGAGAGGTAGCTTCTCTTTGTGCTGTGCTGAAAAAGTCCAGAACAAAATCAAATACAGATTTATCCTAAAGGGGTTCGGGTTAGGCGCTGACTGCAGAGAACCAATCTGAATGCTGCGCTGAACATTGTGACTGACTCTACCTTTAAGTCGCTGTGACGTCACCAAACATCCCGCTGTTCATCTGGTACAATGTACATCTATGTTACAGATACCTAGTCCTGTAAGAGGAGTGGGAGCCTGCAGGGTCATGAGAGGCTGCATTGTGTGTGTGTGTGTGTGTGTGTGTTCAGGTCATGCCTGTAGTGATGTCACTGAGCCCACTCAGGGTCTCTGAATGGAATATTTTCAGTTGAAGATTTCTGTAACTGACATAAACAAACTCCTATGAGAAGAACAAGAGGGACGCTTCATCCTTTAAAACACAGATGACAGGTTGTTGTTCAGTTTGTTCAGCTGGAGTTTACAGACTGAAAAACACTCCATTCATATAATGTTCATTATGTTTTTATAACGAGGAAAGTCAGAGAACGAAGGTGAAGAACTTTAAATCTCCAAATGCAAAATATTAAAACAAAAATCCCTCTTTGTTTTCCCTTCTGCTTGACCCTTGACCTTTAGGGATTCCCTAAGAGGACAAGCCTCCGTACATTTCATTTTTACTCTGGTTTCCTGTGATTACGTGTAAATTGTTTTGCCGTTTCCCTCGAGATCTCGACTTATTTATCTGGTTATTTTAGGATAAGATCGCAGGACTTCTTGTAATAATGAGTTAATCTTAGTTTTTTTTTCTAGACATTTCAAGAAATGAAGTCATGATTACTGCAAACCCAGTGTTGTTATCCCCAAGATGACGAGGTAAATAAGTTGAGAGTTACAGGAAACAACTGGAAATGACTCTTGAGTGGACGCATGTCAGCTTAGGGCCTCCATACATTTGAGTGATTTTACTTAAATATGAAACTTCACCAGACTAAAATAGTTGAGACACATTTTGAATGCTGCTCTTTTCCTCAGTCTGTGTTTATACTCTAGATCTGTTTCCTACATGTCGTGTCATCCTTTGTAATATAAAAACATGTTAATCCTATGAGCAGTTATTAAAGTGAGGATGGTGTGAAAGGTTTCTGTTGTTACTTTGTCGAGTTCATCGTGCAGCTCGGACAGGGACGGTCTGCTCAGCTTCTCTCCAAACGGCGCGGCGGTCTGTCGGTAGAAGTCGATGTTTGGCACGGCGTCGATGGTGTTGTGTCCGAAGGTCCTCATGTAGTACGTGTTGGAGTGGGAGTCTGAGATGTGTGTGTGTCCCGTGCCCGTTGAGTGGAGGCTGACCGAGTCGCTCCTCGTCGTGTCCGGCTCTTTGAAGACATCAGGCGGGAGACCGATGTCCATCGCGCTGCCGAGACCCGGATCCATGAACCCCACCGACCTGGACCGGGTTTTAGACTCCTCAGGCGGTTTGGATTCTTCAGTGGAGGCCGGGGCAGGAGGTGCCGTGGCCGAGGTGGTGGATGATGCTTCTGTCACCACATCCACCTGGAAGCGTCCGCCGCTCCTCAGCGATGGTTTCTGTGCCGACATGTCCTTCAGGAAGTCGATTTAACCCGTCCGAAGAGTCAGTGACGCACCGAGAGACAAAAGGTTACCGTGAGATCAATACCTGCCCCAAAAGCTGCGGGATGTCCATGCAGCAGCGCAGCATTTAGTTCAAACTCTTCAGAGCAGACACAAACAAACGTGGCTTCAAGTTAAACATTTAGCTACAAAAGTTCCACTCTGCTGCCTTCTTCCAAACTCTGGAGCTGAATGCGCCAGGACGCACAGATGTGTGCGTAATGTGTGTAAAGAACACCAACTCTCACCCTTTGACTCTCTCTCTCTCTCTCTCTCTCTCTCTCTCTATCTGTCCATCCACGACAAGTTGGCGGTGTCATCCCCTCAGATGTTAACTCAAACGGTTTATTGTCATCCCTCTCTCTCGCTCTCTGTCTCGCTCTCTCTGTCTCTCTCTCTCTGTCTCTCTCTCTCTCTCTCTCTCCCTCTCTCTCTCTCTCTCTGTCTCTCTCTATCAGTCTGTCTGAGCATCTCTCTCTCTCTCTCTCTCTCTCTCGCTCTCTCTCTGTCTCTCTCTCTCTCTCTCTCTCTGTCTCTCTGTCTCTCTCTCTCTCTCTCTCTCTCTCTCTCTCTCTCTCTCTCTCTCTCTCTCTCTCTCCCTCTCTCTCCTGTCTCTCTCTCTCTCTCTCTCTCTCTCTCTCTCTCTCTCTCTCTCTCTCTCTTCCTCTCTCTCTTCCTCTCACTTGACTCTCGAGACATCCCAGCATGTCGGCAGAGGAGGAGGAAGAAGGAGAAACTGATCTTGGTGTCCGTTACGCACAAAACTTTGGCACGAGTCTTGACAGACACGCGAGAGGAGGGCCGAGATTTTACCTCCCAAAGTTCAGGAAACACAGAAACATGATTTTAATAAAGTGAAGAAGAAAAACACATTCACACGTTCAGCAGCAGCAGCACAGTGTAAACATCCAAACATCAACACAGTTACTAAAAACACTGAACCCCACGTGTCATGTATGTAAAAATTGTGTGTGTGTGTGTGTGTGTGTGTGTGTGTGTGTGTGTGTGTGTGTGTGTGTGTGTGTGTGTGTGTCAGTTTGTGTGTCTGCAACTCAAAACAAAGAGATTTGTCATCACTGCTGCTGGTGACACACTGAGACATTTTCACAAAGCATGGGCACGCAGGAGGCGTGTGTGTGTGTGTGTGTGTGTGTGTGTGTGTGTGTGTGTGTGTGTGTGTGTGTGTGTGTGTGTGTGTGTGTGTGTGTGGTGTGAGTGTGTGTGTGTGTGTGTGTGGTACATTAGCATGGAGAACAACAGCTGCTTTCATTGTGGAGAGCGCTTGATGCTGAAGCCAAACACTGAACAATAAAAGAAGAACACAATGACAGGAACCAGTTGAAGCAGTTTCACTTTATTCAACTTTAAAGTTAAGATAACGTTTTGTAAGTGAGAAGAAAGATGACGTAATCATGATGACGTCACACCTTTAAAATAAAAGATGTTGTTCTGTGTTGTTCTTCTGAGAAGATAATGATGATAATGAGCTTTTGTACGGAGTCCGTAGCGTGCCACTTAAACAATAATCAAACCTGAATAAACCACATCCCCAAGGTGGCCATGTTGCCATGACGACCAAAGCTCAAATGTTGACATAGCAACAGTAGTGAAGTGGTGGCTGAAGAAGTGAGGATGCTCTTCATTTTCCCCAAAATGTTTTTTTGAATGACCCGTCCAGCCGAGTATAAACGACCTCTGTGTAAGGCCCCGTGTCCACCTGACGTCTTCTTCTGAGCACCAGCATCTTTTCTCCAGCTGTTTTCTATGAGTAGAGAGCGTTCACAGCAGGAAGCGACCGCCTGGAGACAAAGCACAGGCTGTAAACATTCATTTATGCTGTAAAAACAGTTTTTTGATGAATTGACCTGAATCTGAGTTTTATGATGCTGATACTCTCTCTTCAGGCTCTGCTGCCCCCTGGTGGTGGGATGTTTAAACACACTGTTAATGAGACGACCTGAGACTGAATAGCATGACATTTATATGAGAATTCTAGTTACAGCTTGAACACTTAAAGGATATTTAAAGGATGAAGAGTGTCTGTGATGTGAACGTCTGACACACAGATTCAAGGTGACGGGGTCGACCTGCGAGCTCAGTCTGAAACGACTCTGATCACAACTCCAACTTCATTATCATAGTCACTTCTACTACTGCTGGTATACATGCAAATATAAAGACAGCTCTGGAAAACAGACCAAAGTAAGACTCAGTGCTTCAATAAGAAAAAGAGAAACACCGATCACCAGCTGTGATATAAAGACGCTTAAAGCTGATAATCTGTCACGTCTCCACACTGCTGCAGCAGGTGATGAGCACTGACACGTTTCACCATCTCCCTCTGTCAGGGTTAGGGCTTTGGTTGAGTTTCAGTCTGAGGTAAAGAAGGAATGATAAAAAAACAACAACACATCGACAGGTTTGATAAAAGGACACATTAAGGGTTAAAAAACTGTGGACTGGCTCCAGTCACCGACTCTAAAGTCTCTGTACAGTCCTGATCCATGTAATAATGAAAGAAAGAGTCTGTTTCTGAGTTCCTCTCTCTTCTCCTGATCGACAGGTCTGATAAAGATCCTAAAACAACACCTGGTGACGGTTAAATGAAGGTTAAATGAAGGTCATGGTGCTGCACAGTGAAAGCATCGGAGATGACAGCAGAAGAAAGATGCTTCTTGTTAAAAACAAATGTTAGGTGGTTGCTGCTTCTCTCTCTCTCTCTCTCTCTCTCTCTCTCTCTCAAAAACAAACTGGTAAAGTTCAGACGACTCTCTGCTCTCAGAAACGATAAACGATGACACTGAAGATAAAGTAACTGTTTCCTGTGAGTTGCCTGAGTTTGTTGCAGCCTTTGGTTGCTTCCTCTGGTAGCTGGTTGTCAGTTGTCACTCATGACGCCTCACCTCTGCTCCTCCAAATGTCTCCTGAGTCCTCCTGCTGAAACAAAGTTTGAACAAGCAAACGCACCAAAACAAAGCTGCATGTCTCTGCTTCACCTGCACCTCGTCTGCTCCAAAATGAGAGTCTATAAAAAAACGTGCCATGGCGTGATGTGACAGTTTGATGCTGATCTTCTGCTGAGAATATCGTAGGAAAAGTCCTGCCTCCTGCTCCTCACATCTCTGAAAGCTTCCTGATCCCAGCACCGCCTGAAGAGTTGGTGAAGAGGTCAAACTAACCTCTGTCTTCATCATCAGATAAACAAAGATTCACTTTTCATTTGAGGTTAAAACTCATTTATACTCAAAGACAAAAAGGCCACTCCTCGTACCAGGAAGATTAGACATGTGATGCACTCTGCAGCCTCTAGGGGGCGACATTACACTGTAACTGGTAACAACAGAGTCTTTCTTTTAAAATGTTCATCCCTCCATCAGCAGGGTGACTCCTGTATCATGAATAAAGGTTCAGACTACTGACTTAGACCTGAAATTAAAACAAAAGTGAAGATATTAAAACAATAAAAAGGATTCTATTCACTTAAAAAATATTTAATATAACTGCTCCCAAAGTTTCTTCATCTGGTACAGATCAGCCACGCTCCAACTGATGTTTCACCAATATTTATTCTTTTCCTTTTGTCAGCAAACACCGTGAAAAACTAAAATGAAGTAAATAAAGACACAAGCATTTATGAGCACAGATGACTATACAAAAGCTAAACAAAATGTCCTTTACAAATAAAAATACAATTACATACCGTGTGCACCTTCTAACCACACATGTTTAGGCTTTGCAGTCTTTTAAAGTTCTTCAGACGCGTCTCCTTCATCTGTGTCCTACCGTTGGTACTAGCTTCTGGCAGCACGTTTTATTGCTTCAATTAAACATGTGAACACTGCATGCTGAACACTCAGCGCAATACACAATTAGACCAGTAGGTGTCAGTAACAGAGCATAGAATCTGAACACATTTCAAAATAAAACATTTTCTCTGTAATTATAACAAAATCCTGTTCAAAGAAATATAATTTTCTGTGACAGCTACATTTAAAATCTATAAAACAGGGAACAAATATCAATATAACAGGCACTGCAGTCTTTGGATTGGTCAAAAGAATCGTCACTTCCTGTTCCACATGGATTCAGAGAGAGACATTTCATGGCCTCTTTTGTTACTGTAGTCCCCATGGACGACCTCAGAGGTGCTGCCCCCTGCTGGACGTCCTCCATTGTTGCCCTTTCTGTACCCTGTACCGTTTTTCTTCTTCTTCGTTGTATTTATTGGCGGGCTACTCTGTGTCACGCTGCTATAGTGTCACGATATGACTTAGCTGACGTGGCTATAACCATGAGGCTGATCTTTTAAAAAATATATATCTGTAATCTTATCGTCATCGTCCATCAGGAGCAGGTCATCGTCAGTTATCAGTATCAGCTCAATAAAATTCACATAATGCGTCCCTACTTAAAACTCAGTTACTGCAGCCATAAGAAACACACTCAGTTAAATATCTGCATCGTCCACCAAAAGTCAAACAAAACTCACTCCTTCAAAGTGTCTCATTAACATTTACACCTTTTGTTGTTTTGTTGTATGAGAGTCAAACTTTACTGGACCTTGTTGTAAGGACAGTGAGCTCCTGATACCCTGAAGGTCACAGATAGAGGACGGAGCTATACCTGATAAGATAAGATATCACAGTGTGTTTATTCTTTTACTGGTTAATAATCATTAATCTTATCCTCGACTCATTCTCTGACGGAGTGTAAGAGAGCATGAACACAGCTGCACGGTGCAGCTGCTCATCATTCAGAAAGGTTCAACTCACTGACACTGATTTCTCTTTCATCATCTTTACCTCCAGGGCCCTTTCTGAATATCCACAGTTCAGTAGTCAGTACTATGCAGTAGGAGTTTCAGTATACTGAACCCTCGTGGTCATTCAGTGGTCATCTTTTGGGTCCACCTCAGTATACTGAACATATCAGTATGGATATTAACTTCCTGGTTTCATGCAGTATGGATCAGATGCGTGCTTTCAGGAAATGAATTGTGTTTTATCCACAATGCAGTGCGAAATTAAACGTAAATCGTCACGTCACGTCCACCTCCAAATGAAAACAAATGAGCGTGGATTAATTTAATCAGTTTTTAATCTAGAGTTAAAGTCCCGTCTGAAATCACTACTTTAAATTAACAACAGAAAATATAACAAATATCTGCATTATTATAAAACCTTTCTCCCTCTATTTAAATAATGATGTCACTATTTAAATAATGATGTCACTATTTAAATAATGATGTCACTATTTAAATGTGTCTTTATTGGTTTATTTTATATTCTGTATATTACTGTCTTTCATTTGTTCTTTATGTACTGTATGTTATTTAATTATTTAATGTTTTACTTGATTTACATTGTGATATTGTTTTTTGTTTACCTGACTGTATATGAGCATTACTCTTCTTGAATAAAGATAAACAAAAAAACAAAAAAACGGGTGAATGCGGCCGGTTTGGGAAACGTAAATGACGTCACTTCCATACTGAATGAATCAGAAGAAGTAGGAACAAATATCTGCCTACTGTGTGTGCATACTGAAGAGTAGGTACTAACAGTATACAGCACGGATAGTACGTACTGCATACTGAATAGTAGGTACTAACAGTATACAGCACGGATAGTACGTACTGCATACTGAATAGTAGGTACTAACAGTATACAGCACGGATAGTACGTACTGCATACTGAATAGTAGGTACTAACAGTATACAGCACGGATAGTACGTACTGCATACTGAATAGTAGGTACTAACAGCATACAGCACGGATAGTACGTACTGCATACTGAATAGTAGGTACTAACAGTATACAGCACGGATAGTACGTACTGCATACTGAATAGTAGGTACTAACAGTATACAGCACGGATAGTACGTACTGCATACTGAATAGTAGGTACTAACAGTATACAGCACAGATAGTACGTACTGCATACTGAAGAGTAGGTACTAACAGTATACAGCACAGATAGTACGTACTGCATACTGAATGTGCAAAACAAAAACAAACTGTTGTTTGGCCACGCCTCCTCCATACTGAAGCCTCCGCTCTCCTCCAGAGACACACCTCCAACCCCGCTCCACTCGTTCATATGAAGGAGTTATCAAATAGAATGCACCAAAATTAATCACCATTAGGCACAAACGGTGAACAAAATTGTCCTTGTCTCGAGCTGCATTGCTGTGTTAGCAGGCTAATGTTAGCACTCTTTAGTTAGCTCGTAGCTTCACATTGTTGTGTTAGCATGCTAATGTTAGCACTCTTTAGTTAGCTCGTAGCTTCACATTGTTGTGTTAGCATGCTAATGTTAGCGCTCTTTAGTTAGCTCGTAGCTTCACATTGTTGTGTTAGCATGCTAATGTTAGCGCTCTTTAGTTAGCTCGTAGCTTCACATTGTTGTGTTAGCATGCTAATGTTAGCGCTCTTTAGTCAGCTCGTAGCTTCACATTTCATGTAAACTGACACAGAATGAGCGTGATCTAAAAACTCTTACTAACATCCAAATAATCAGTGAGTATGTTCTTCTTCTTCTCTCTAGTTCTTGACTAAAACAGCTTTTATACACAAGGGGAGGAGCCGGCCGTCCCGTCCATGTAAACACGGCTCTGACAACAACACAGCCAGCGGGACTCGAGCTTCTCCCTCATTGTAGACAGTCAGGACTCAGAGACACATTTACACAGGACAGACTTTATGATTTATTGAAGTGGAACATGTTGCACACTCTTCCTTTAAGTCCATTCAAGCTGCTCGCTGCATTAAACGACATCACTCAGGCTTCGTCCATTAACACAGACTGAGTAGGTTTTTGTGTTAAACAAGGCCAGTGTAAAATTGGAGACAAATAAACCAGCTACTTTGAAACAACAGTCCAAATTGTACTCTATTAAGACTCAGGAAGTCTACTGAGTCAGATCCACTAAAGTCCTAACTTCTTAAACTGGTCCAGGTCCAATCAATGCACAGAATCATATAACTCTAACAGAAAGGAATACACAGACAGGAACACCCGCTGCGCTGCTCTGAGGTGGTGGATGAGTTTATTGAGACTGAGGGAAGGTGCACCATCTGATTTATGGTTCACTCATAAACCTGCACGTGTATAAAAACCTGCAGGAGTCTGAGAGTGGACTCAGTGGGGAGCGACTGTCAGGGTGAGTACACATCCAAGATTTTGATTTAAATTAATTCCATCATGCACCTTTCAGGATTTAAATAAACAACAAATTCAAGAAACAAAATGATTCACATGTAAAGTTAAATTGCACGAATCAAAGGTAAAGTAAAGGTATCATCAAATTGTCATATTTGAAGTTTCACGTCCTGCAAAGTTAGAAAAATGAACAGGTCAACAACTGAAAATCATGATCATGAGCTTGATGCTTGACTGTCTCTTTTTGTGAGCAGTGTTTATCCAAAAGGACATTTCATAGATCAACAAAATGTAAAGGTCAAATTATGGAGGAGGGTCCAGAAAGCGTTGCGTTCCAAGGTTTCTACAAAACTTTTGAAACTGAGAATATATTTTGTGTTGGGTCTCCAGATGAAGCTGTCGGTGTTGTTGCTGTCGCTCTGCTGGCTCTGTCTGCAGCCAGCCTGCAGGACATCGTGAAGAAGAGCTCTCAGCACAGGAGAGGTGAATGTTCAACTAAACCTTTCTTATCTTTGTGACTTGAATAAGCTCAAATAGCATGTCAGTGATATAGCCTTTGTGTAGGCATTATCCTGAGGTTATCCAGTGTTTTCCAAATGGTCCAATAGCAGAGCTTGTTTTTTGTGTTTTGGTTTCATGTGGAAACATTTTGGTCTCTTTTCAGCGTCTTTACTGAACCCGCAGCTGGAGGGCCTGGAGCCTGAGTCGACAGGTAACCATGTGGTGCAGGCTCCTCTGACTCCTGCAGACCTGGAGCAGCAGGACAGTCTCCCCGACTCCTACATGTTCAATGACAACGTCAACATGGAGTGGTTGAACTGGGGCGGCGCTCTGCCAAATGGAGCTGTGGCGATCTACAACGGCTACACGGAGCGCACCGACTACGTATGCAAGTACAAGTGTGAAGCCGGCTTCTACAACCCCAGCCTGGGCCCCTACTGCCGCTACCCCTACGGAGACCGCGAGTACTACGCCCCCGAGTTCCAGATCCTCGCCAACAAAGACAACTTTGAGTTCCTGGAGTGGAAGGAAGGCTCCCACGGTGCGGTCCCTCAGCATTCAGTCCGGACCTGCCCGGGCGTTGGCATCTACGTGGGGAAGAACAAGTACGGCCTGGGGAAGGTCGTTTCTCAGTTTGAAGCTTTCTTCCTGCCGTGGGAGGGCGACGAGTACTGGTACAAGAGCTACCAGGTCCTGACCATCAACAGGGACGCCTACACCCAGCACATCTCCGACGTCAAGTACGCCATCGATGAGGTCGCGATCTTCCAGTATCCTCCAGAGACCATGCGTATCTCTGGGGTCACCAACAACGAGTGCCAGACCGTGTCCAAGACCGTCACCATCTCAAAGACCACGGAGACAGAGACCACCTGGAACATCGGCCGAGCCACCATGCTGGGGATCGCCGGCAGCATCACCGCCAAGATCCCATTCATCGGCGAGGGGGGCATCGAGCTGGGCGGCGAGAAGACGCTGACCTTCAACAGAGGAACCACTGTGGTGGAGGCGCTCAGCCACTCCGTTTCAGTCGAGCTCTCCGTCCCCGCAAACCACTACTGCCGAGTCCGCATGGAGGGGCGTAAGATGAAAGCCGACATCCCCTACACAGCTCGCCTCAGCCGTACGTACCGCAACGGAGAGACCCAGTGGACGTCCATCTCCGGGAAGTACGACGGAGTCCAGATCGGAGAAGTCCGAGCCGTCGTGGACCGCTGTGAGCCTGTGGCCGACGCCCAGCCGTGCCCCTGAAAGACTGAAAATACAACAATACATTTTTTAACATCTGATGTTTAAACGACTAAAAATGATATGAACAGAAAATAAAACAAAGATTCTTTTCTCTTCACAGTCTCTCTTTTATATTTTCAGTTTACACAAACATCACAACAATCCAACACATAAACTCAGGCCTGTTCAAGTATGTTTTTATACATCACTATTTAACTGAACATTTCCATTAAACGCAAACCT